GGGGGGGGGGGGGGGGGGTGTTTAATAAAAATTAACATTAACAATGATTTTCAGCCATTAGATTAAACACAAATATAATTCTGAGATGATCTCAACCATAAAAAGTAAATTTAATTTTTTTATGTCTTTTGAGCTTTGAAATACCTTAATTTTTTGTCTTTATATTATATATATTTTCAATAATATCCACTAAAATTTGTTGGGCTTGGAGCCATCATCTGATTAGTCCAAGCCAATTGAGCCCATCAGACTTGTGAAGTCCACCTAAACCCACCACAACGATACTGAATCGTTTCTGTCTTCTTGGGCAAGGAGCCTGGGGAACGGGTCAATCAATCCCCACGCAAACTTTTATAAACCCCAAAGGCCACAGTCGAGATCTTACATACAATTACAGAGTACTGTGCATCTGTACACGCAAGGCCTACTTACACCTGCACGAGTTTATATGAATATCCTCGCATATGTCCATCATCCAATACATATGATCTATCCAGTCCAAACAGAACAAATTTAGACAAATACCTATTTTTTTCCTGATCCACTGTCATCTCCTAAACCGGAAGGTACAGTTATATTCCGTGACGTAGTTGACTAGAAGGGATGAGATGGGATACTAAAGATTTCTTACCAAGTTTTTTCATCCCAAGTGACATGACACAAATTCCATCAATATTCAATGATAGAAATTGTACTACATTATTTGGAATGAAAAACTTAGTAAGCGTACCCATTACTGTAAAAATAATCGCACCCTTTCCCCTTTATGGGAGAGTTTTGTGGTGAAAGGTTACACACAGAAGAGGCCGAACGAAAAGGTTAAAAAAAAGTAAACAGGAACAAACAGTTTTAGTATTGCTCTTCAAGAGCTGTAGTGGTTGGACAACCTACTTGTATCATTTTTTTTTTTTGGCAGTTGATATAGGCCAAACTGCAACACTCAAATCTCCTTAGGTTTTCAAAGGAGAAGGGCCGGTGGTTCTTAATTTTGTCCATTGGCTGCCGATGTGCCAATGAGGTTTCCTAATTGCGCAGCATGTAGTTTTCGAGGGCTACTTGAACCGTGCCACAGGATTTCGGGCACTGTGTTTTTTACACAGCTGGGACAACGTAAATGCTAGTAGTAAAGCCAACAACGAAATAAAACTTGCATTCCAAATCCCATCCGGGAAGAGTTGTCAACCTAAGATGAGTTGAAATTGACGCTATTCATCATCATAGTTAATCAATCAAACTTACTGGGAAATGACTGAACGCAAGTACCTTTCTTCTTTACGGACCTGAAAATTATGTGAGAAGAACTGAAACGAGTTCCTGATCATCCATGGCTTCAGGCCAGGTTTTTCTTACGAGGAGGACAGCAGAATCAAGCTTAATATGTGGATTAGAGAGGGTAAGATGAAGCATTCACCAGTTTAGATGTGACACTGATGCAGATCTCAGGAGAAAGATGAGTTGCCATGGCATCAAGCTGAAGCTAACAAGCCCTAGAAAAGATGAAGAGATGACTTGAGCTTGTTCTGTCTCCATTTAGGAAGCTCGTAGAAGGTTCTTTTTAACATTCCAAATTTCTCTTCAAACTCTTCATCACATAAATATGCCTGGAGATAGATCCAAAAAACCAAAACTTGTGATGGACAATCCGTGGCAGCAATGAATTGTAGTCATAGAAAGAAAAACTACAACTTGTAATGGATAATCAGTGGCAGCAATGAATTTATAGTCATAAAAAGAGAAATGTCATAATTATTCATTTCAAGTCATCTAGTCAAAATCTATATAGATCATAGAAGGGTTTTTTTTGTCAAATCAATGAAATCATCTATCTATATCTATACTACTATAAAATATCAACAAACGTGAAAAAATTTTAATTGACTATAATAACCTTAATAAAATATCTAATACCCATATTATCCAACTTTTCACTTATAATAGAAAAATTAATACTACTTATAATTGTGGGAGTTGGGTAGACTATTGGACTTCTGTAATTAACAAAAAATAATGGATAACTCCCATTTTTCCAAACACATTATAATGTAACCTCCCAAGTTGCTAAACTTTCCAACTCCACACTCCACCGGTCTTTCCTTCTTCCTCCCCTACCTCATTTTTACTCTGTCATATTTGTCTATTCAGGCCAACGCTCTCACTCCACCTTTCCATATTCAGTCATTGACTTCACAGGTAATCTCTCAATCTTATTTCTGTTGCAATTTAGGCTCACACCGTCTCACTCCGTACCTCTTTTCTTTTGCATCTCTTGATTGTTTTTATGGTTTTGGTAAGGTTTCCATCGAGAATTATATTCAGTTCGTCATTTCAGGCAGTTCATGTTTTGGGTGCTTAGTGGTGTATCAAAAAAAGATAATGTTACTTCCTACATAGAAGCAAGAGGTAATGGATCTGCTCAACTTGGGCAGTTTGCTTCATTTTAAATTTTGATTTTTTTTAACTAAGCAAGAAAGCTTGCGATCTCTCTTTAAAGAACATGTGGAAGATAACTANAGTTTGCTTCATTTTAAATTTTGATTTTTTTTAACTAAGCAAGAAAGCTTGCGATCTTTCTTTAAAGAACATGTGGAAGATAATTATCGGTTTTAGCTCAAATGTACCTCCAATCTTCACAATTTTTTATCCTTAATGAACATACCTCTTTTATTTTTGAAATTTTCACTTCCTTTTTTGTTCATTTGTGCTTGCAGGAAATTTGACAGTAAATGAGGGAGAAAAGAGAAAATGAAAGTGTATTATTTTAATTTCATGAAAAAATCAAATTTTTTTTAAAATTTTTTGNTATTTTTGAAATTTTCACTTCCTTTTTTGTTCATTTGTGCTTGCAGGAAATTTGACAATAAATGAGGGAGAAAAGAGAAAATGAAAGTGTATTATTTTAATTTCATGAAAAAATCAAATTTTTTTTAAAATTTTTTACAATTTTCATTTACTGTCCTAGGCAACATCTAAATCCCATACAAAAGAGAAAGGGAAGTGAAAATGGTGGCCTACAGGCAAGGATCAAAATTTTGTTGAGGTGCATTATTTCGGTCATTTAGAAAATGAAAACGTTTCAACATGTTTCGGAAACGTTTCGATCCATTTCGAAAACAAAATGAAAAATAATAAAAATTTAAGAATTATTTTTTTAAAACATTAGTCGAAATATATCAAAAAATCTTGAAATACCTTGAAATATTCTAAAATAATTGTGCAAATACATTGAACTATTACAAAATATTTTGAAACATTATAGAACACCTCGAAGTATTAGAATTTCGATTCTATCACTGATTCGTTTCGGTCTCCTTGAAAACGAAAAAATTTCGGATGTTTCGAAACGATATTTTGATCCTTGCCTACATGCTTGAATCTTGATTACAAATTCTATGGATATTGGGCATGAATTTTTGGGACATGGATTATTCAAATTGGGTTTAAGTCTTAATGAGAAATCTTTCTAATCTTCTTTTTCTTATTGTGGGTTTTTTTTTTTAATAAAGACAATTCAAATTTTTATGGCATTTGGTGTTGTTAAATCTAATGATTACATTGAATTATGTCATCGAATTAGGTTTCTAAATAATGTCCAAATAGCATTTTAGATATTGCTTATTTTATTTCAAGAGTTTTTCATTCAAAATTAAGGTTGTCTAAACTGTCGTTTCATTGTATGGAAGACATTTATCTTTTATAGATTGAAAACTTATTTTGTCTTCTAAACTTGGGATGAGAATGACTCATCCGAATATTAGTTTTTAATTTTTATTCAAGACCTAACTAACTATGGTTTATTATTATAGTAGTGGATTTGTTTCAGATTTTTTTTGTTTATTGATCATCTAATCATAGATCCTATACTAATTAAACTAAAGATTTGGTATGTCCTTTCAAGACCTAACTAACTATGGTTTCATTATTTTAATATTTGCGAGTGCACTTAAGATATTGTTGGGTTTTTCACCTTTAAAATATTTTAGAATTTTTTATTGTGGTGGATATGTTGAAGAAAAAATATAAATTGCAATTCTAAATAAACTGCTATTTGGTGTTGGTGCAAGCATTGGATTGGGTTAGGGAATAATGATGAGAAGAATATCATAAATGTAGGTGGTGTTGCATAATTTTTTTTTTTTTTTTTTGGTTTTGCTTCCCTAGACCAAGAATGGTGGTTTCTATATTCTATTCTATTCTAATTTTATAGATTGTACATAAATCCATCATTTTTTTCTTTATTTGCACTTGTTTGTTTGTTGCTAAAATATAGTTTGAAACATTGAAAAGAAATAATTAATTATGTCACAATTTAGTATTATGCTAGAAAAAAAATTGTGATATCTATTTATCATCTTAATTGAAAACCTATAAGGAAAAATCTACAAAACAATATCACAAAAACAATAATAGAAACACAAATTATAAGTTAAAATAATTCACGTGCACCGCACGTGTGCAACAATTAGTAATCAAAAATCTGAAAGTTCTTTCAAAATACAACAATGGCTTATTTATAATCATTAAGAAAACTAACGGTTGCAGTTTAAAATTATGATTCTCAAAGGTTGTTATTTTAACTCATTTCCCTGAAAACAAGGTTTCTTAAAAGAATGAAGCAAGTTCTGCTGTATCTCAACGAATAAGAAAGCTGTTACCTCTCTTTTGGTGATGTCTATGCCCGTTACTGGGTCAGTTGACCCCACTTTTAGTCTTTCATATGGATAGATTAGAACGTTTATATTGGCCTCACTTTGATCTACCTGCACGATAGCAGCATTCCCGGAAGGAGCACTGGGCACATTTGCTACAGAACCTGTAGATATGATTGATTGTTTCATTGTAAAGAAGAAATGTCAAGGAGAAAAAGCTTGGTCATATTATATGAGAAGAGGATAAAAGAGGAAATGAACAAACAGAAAGTAAAAAAAAAAAAAACAGAACAGGGAACCTACATGAATTTGCCAAAAATTCAGAGATACTGCTAGAAGATAGTAAAAACTGGAGCCTATTCTCACATCTCTAAAGTGGAAAGCATGCGATGGTTCATCAGATTTAAATTTTCAAGTCTTTGCACTTCCCACTTAGGTTAGCCAATTGGTAGACCTAGACCATATCTTCATAGAAAACTTTCTTGGCTGTATAGGATCGTTCATTTCTTGCTACAATTCAATGTCTATGTAACATCAGAACTTCAACCATCCAATATGTACAAACATTGGAGGAGCCAGACGCTACAGGTCACCTTTCTCACAGGAGGCTCAACCCCTCCCTCCCTAGTCACTGATGGTTTTTGTCATATTTTAGTTACTTGTATGCATGCAAACAACCATAGATGCATAATAGAGATATTTAATATCACTATGACCTGTAAAATTAATTTTCTTGAAAAGCAAAATAACTGCCAGATTTGGTTTCGCTGTAACCTGTAAAATCCAAATTTCTCATAGGCTAGTTGAAAAATGCTTCATTACCAGCATTAACAGAATCAGGAGAAGATCCTGAAAAAAGATGTCTGGGAATTGGAGTTGGGCTGGAAAGGTGGTGATTATCCGAAGAATGAGAGTCTGAAAATCTGGACGCAGGAGATGAACTTCTTCCCAGCCCATTGACACTGAGAGAGCGGCTTCTCTCATCTGGCGTAGTCTCCAAAGAGTGTGCTTTCCATGAACTTCTTAAAGATTTCTGAATATGTAACATTGTTTGAGTGAGCATAAGTATACCTTCTTAAGAAGGGGTAAAAATTTAGAGTCTTAAGCAGTGAAAATACATTTTCCCTAAAACAGTGGGAGAAACATCTGACNGATTTCTGAATATGTAACATTGTTTGAGTGAGCATAAGTATACCTTCTTAAGAAGGGATAAAAATTTAGAGTCTTAAGCAGTGAAAATACATTTTCCCTAAAACAGTGGGAGAAACATCTGACATATTTTTATAGGGGACACATACATACTGAACGATACTAACAAATCTCCTGACTCACTTACTTCCAAGTTTTGTGCTTTTCCCTTTAACATAGCAAGCTTCCGCTCAAAGGAGTTACCAAGCATCTACAATGGCAGAAATTGAGTCAATTGGCAAACTCCATCTTGCATTGCTGTCAAATGTTGCAAAAGTACTCTTCTCAGGTGCTTGCCGGTCAACATATTAGACCAGATTACTTACCAAAATCTAGGTCACAGGACACAGTAACATACTCAAAGCATCTAGGACGTTTATGTGTCCACATAATATATTGAAACATGTTGGTATCAATTTGAACCATGTCCAGAAAGGGTACTTCAGACAGTTCACAGTATTCACATTTAAGTTATGGACTATTATTCACTTACATTTGCCTTTGAGGAATCCCATTCAAAGAAGAAAGTGAAGAATGGTGGCTCATACCCTTCTGTAACAACATAGACAGGGGTCTCTGAAGAAAGTCCTTCAACAAGAATGTCCTTTTCAAGGAACTTCTGTTACTACCAAAATAAATGTTAATACAAATGAGATCAATGATCTAAACGACAAGCATCTATTATAAAAGATTCAGATATTTGTAGTTCACATAAAAAAAGTATAGTAGTTGGGCATATGGCCCAACAAAGCATCAATGCATGTCTCCACATATCTCAGATGAAGCAAACTAGTTTTTAAGGAAAAGAAACCAAAATTTTGTGAAAATGGAACTGTAGGAGACATAATGGCTCAAGATTACATGCTAAGAAACAACTTAATGGTTACATATCCGACAAATTGGGTAATGGTATGATTTTTAGGAACCAAGAATGCTCTGTTTCTGAGATGCACTGGTCAATGCAAGGGAGACCATTTATGTGAACAAATTATTCAAGATTAGTTTGCAGTTATTACCATGCCAAGATTAAGGCCTTGTTGCTTTGATTCAACATGCGAATGGCGCCCTAACCAAACATAGATTTCAGAGTGGCAGTCCAGCACTAAGACATCTTCAGTGGTTAAATCATCTTGTGAGAAATTGAAAATCTCTTTCACCTGTGATGTAAAGGTAGCATGAATTGCAATAGATTAGAGAATCATCTTCTGACTTCATAATATTTCTAGGTATGTATTTTTCACTACAGATTGCTATATTCTTCAGAACAGAATAAGTAACAAAACAAACTTGACTCAGCTTTCAGGCTCGTACATATCAGACTTCTAGAATATGTACTCAATTGTTCAAAGCTGAGATTAGCCACCCAAAATAAGGAAAACATGGTTGCAACATGGAAACAACAAATGTAAAGTGGAAATTGTAAGCTATTGCTTTACTTTGTGTATTCTTGTAATTTTTCAATCAATCTGCTTCATAGAACAAAATCTTACATTCAGGATCTACAACAAGTTTTCTGTTATCATTCCAAGATGTTGCGTTGGTCGAATATTGCTAAATCAATTATTAAACATTCTCAATTTTATGGACCGTACACAAGTTGTCCACAATAAAGTTGATGGCAACATTACACAGGTAAGTCCATTTTTCTGCCTTATACATCATACAATTTGATGGCATTCTTGGATTGGCCCTAGGGTGTCATAATATGACACAACCCGTTAATAGACATGAAATTAGAGGGTTTGGATTTTCTTTAAATCACCCGTTTCGTAAACGAATAAACCCGACACGACATGATTAGCAAAAAAATCAGGTATTGGTGAAAATAAGCAAAAGAAATACACAACACTACTTATTTATACACCGGTTATACACGATATGACCCGATCTAACACAAATCTTTAAACACGAATCAATAAAGGAAACAAGAATGGGTGGAATGCTTTTTGACATGAACCTGAGACCTAACACGAACTAACCTCACCCGACACGATTGAGACAACACGACTGACAGGCCTCCTACCCTGCCATAGCTTCTGACAGAATAGACATGATGTCCTTGACTGTCGGTGAAGTTAGCAAATAGTATTATGGATTTCGACAGGCACTCGAGTCCTTCACATCAAGAAAAGAACTTTACACCGCACTCGAGTCTTTCACATCAAGAAAAGAACTTTAGACCTTGAGGATCATGACATTCATGCCTCAACTGAGAAACTGTGTTATTCCAAAAAGGTCCAATGTACTCATTTTTTTCACAAAAAAAAAAAAGACATCAAAAAATCTTATTGTATAAGACTTCTGTATGCTGTTTGAAGAAATTTGGGGGCTATCAAATCAAATGGTGGTTTCCTCAACTCTAGTGCAACTTTTATAAATTTAAGATTTGCCACATGAATTGACTAGTAAATTTGAGTTTGTTTATCTCTCTACAGCTTTAATCAAAGAGAGTTCTAACCAATTAACAAAGATGAAAGAGAATTTTAACTAATTAAAGTCCATACCATAAAGGTGTACCTATATCAAGTCCTGGATGCCTGCATAAAGATACGTACCTTGAAATCACCTGAATGGAAGAATACAATCATGCAGCACAAAGATCCAGAATCCACCATTAGACATGATTTTACAGTGATTTACAGCTGGGNCGTACCTTGAAATCACCTGAATGGAAGAATACAATCATGCAGCACAAAGATCCAGAACCCACCATTAGACATGATTTTACAGCGATTTACAGCTGGTATACTTCTGAATTGAGCTGGGAGCACATTATCATTTGAGAGAGAAAATCTTAGCAGGGTAAATTGCTCACCTGTAGTAAAGGCACATATAAACAAATGTGGATCTTCTGAATATCCTTTAATGTCCTTTTCCCTTGGATATTCCGCCTTTCCACCCAATGCATTCCAGAAAACATCAGGTTCACTACCTTCCCTCACCAGTATAGGTTGCCATGTGGACTGCAAATAGCATCAGAAGAAGTGACGGTTTATAATTATCCAAGAAAAAGTGGATAAAACAAAGAGAAATGAGCAAGAGAAGGCTATAGTTCTAATGGACACACGAACATTCAATAGATCGAGCATTCTGTCAAGAAGATCATGGTCTATGGCAGAGGAGAGACTCCCGACCCAAGTGAAGATAGATGTCTTCGTCTTCAGGATGTAACAATAGGATGAATTAAGAGAACTTGAAACCTGCAATACTATTAACCAATGAATACTAAAACTACATAATCATTCACAATTTTGGTACTGAAACAACAGAGCATAAAAAATTAAAAATAGCCATTCAAAGGGATATAAATGATGCACACTGAATCTTGAGCTCTGATAAAGATTTGGCTATTTCAAGATGCTCAGCTCAACACAGCGCAAGAGTTTGGAGGAAGTTTCAAGCTCTTTTAATATGGAATTTCACACTCCCCCCAAAGCATGACATCAAAGCCTTAACTTCACCCAATTGTTATTACGTCATTGACCAGTCTTTTATTATTCTGATAAAGACAAAAAAACCCTATAACTTTCCAGTTTACATGGACAATCAAAACAAAAATAAAATTGTTATAGATGAAAAATCAACCACTTAGACAAAGAGGGGTCACAGGATTGCAGATCAATGTGAAGTTTAGCATAATGCCATTTTCCAGGATGGTCACCTGCCCACTTGATGAATGATTAGTGTTTAAACTCTAAAGGTATTTATGGAGAAGGCAAACTTCATATGAAAAATCTTTAATTCTTGCATAAGATGTGTTTCACACACTTTTAATCATATTCAGGATTTACAAAGTGCTAAAAGTTGGCACTGGCTGTATCTGCTGGTAAAATCAAACACCACCACACAAGCACAATGGCAAATCAATGACCTACTTGAGGTCAATACATCCTAAATTGTGAGTAAATATGATGAATGTCAACACGATGTTTGGAAGATTCTCGAAAATAAAAAAAAATGAGAGAGGTGAAAAGGATTAAGTGATGTGTCCCTGTTAGATAGAACAGAAAACATTGGAATTTACTTGATCAACTTGGATGGCTTGCATGTTATTTGCACTTGTTCCTTGAACTCGGAATAGAGCCGTCCTAGTGTCATCATAAGTTTCATCTGCAATACCTTTTTCTGCTATAACACTCTTGTATCTTGTACTCATACCTCCCTTCATGAAATAGCAAAACAATACAATCAAAATCTTCTCAAATGTTCAATAGTAGATTGAGTCGAGACAATATATATTTGACTGGAAATGTAAACAAGCTTGTGGTAGTCATACCTTAAAAATAATCAATCTCTGGAAAATCAGGAAAAAATGAGTCGGTTCCCTTTTCTCAACAATTTGAGCCTGGAATAAGATAATAAGTTAACAGCTAGATTATTAAAGTTAAGCATATAAGCAGGGGCGGAGCCAGGATTGTAGGTAAGTGGGGGCAAAATATTACAAATCAAAGATTGAATGACATTATAGTGGAATGTGATTTTCTTTAATTCTCAAAAGTTGCTTTTATTTGANAGCAGGGGCGGAGCCAGGATTGTAGGTAAGTGGGGGCAAAATATTACAAATCAAAGACTGAATGACATTATAGTGGAATGTGATTTTCTTTAATTCTCAAAAGTTGCTTTTATTTGGTTGACTCTACCCTAAATTTCTTCGCAATATTTTTTCAATGCACAAAATCAAATAGTCCGCGATAAAATCATCATTCATTTTGTGTGTAAGTTTAGTTGAAATTATCTTTTTCATCTTGAGTTTATTCTTTGAAAGAGTAAAAAATATTTTTGGGTTAAGACCATTTACCAGTTGCATTTAACTATGCNCTCTACCCTAAATTTCTTCGCAATATTTTTTCAATGCACAAAATCAAATAGTCCGCGATAAAATCATCATTCATTTTGTGTGTAAGTTTAGTTGAAATTATCTTTTTCATATTGAGTTTATTCTTTGAAAGAGTAAAACATATTTTTGGGTTAAGACCATTTACCAGTTGCATTTAACTATGCTTTACTAGACTATGATGAGTTAATGTTAACTCTATAATTGTGCAGCAAAAAGTAAGGCTAATATATTAAGTAGAAGAGAATTATAGTCTTTGGTCAATGTATAAATCAAGGTATTTGACATGTATTTTATTCAATACAAATGTAAAACATTTATTTTCATGGGTTAGGAGATGATGGATAATTTATTAGGAAAAAGGAACTAGATTACTATAGAAATTTTAAAAAAATTAAGGGGGCAATGTATTAATTTTAACTTGGTTATAATCTTTCTAAGACTACATATGTAAGTTTCATCCAAAAGTCAGTGGGGGCAACTGCCCCCAGAGCCTTGAACGTGCCTCTGCCCCTGCATATAAGTGGAAGTTAAACAGAAAGAAGGTTGAATTAATTGTTAGGGTGTCTGAAGGCTTAAGTTAACTTATTAACATTAAATTAATAAGTTTAAACAAAACCATGGAAATATTTAGTAAAGATAAACAGAAAGAAGTCACTCTGCAAGACCTTCAAACTGAAGGTAATAAATTAAAAAATTAAAACAAGAAATTAAATAACTGATAAAAAGTTGGAACAGACAATAAATCTTCTCCAAACTCATAACAAATTCAGTATAACAAAAAGTCAAACCCTTAGTTAATTTGAAACCAACAGGACATGTTTTCAGCGAATACTCACAACCTCCACCTTGAATGTGGAGACCCTGGGTGTAACAGAGATGCAATAGCCAAATAGATGTTCACAAACAGTTAATGAAGATTAACTGGTTAAATTTTCAAAAATAGCATTCCAAAGTTGAACTTATCATAGTTAATGATTTTGAAGTTGAAATTGTTGCCCTTATTGACACCGGTGCAGATTTAAATTACATACAAGAAGGGCTTATACCAACAAAGTATTACCATAAGACAACTGAAAAGTTAAGCATAGCTAATGGTAGTAAAATAAGTATAAAATACAAGTACCAAAAGTACACATTTGTCAAGACAATGTATGCTTTAAAACATCATTTGTCTTAATAGAAAATATGACAGACCAAGTTATTCTTGGTATACCATTCATATATTTACTATATCCATTTATTACGGATGTAGACGACATAGCTACCAAACCTTTTGGTCTAACAGTAACTTTTAAATTCTTAACCAAACCCTAAGTAAAAGAATTAAGAAGGCTTATAGATTATTCAATCTCACCCTCTCTTAATCTAATTAACCAAAAAAGTAACCAAGTAAAATTCCTCATTGAAGAAATCCATCACAAGTAAATCAAAAATCAGTTAACCAATAAAATCTTAATTTAAAAAATTGAGAGATTTAAAGAAATATTAGAGAATGAAGTATGTTCTCACCTTCCTAGTACCTTTTGGCACCGAAAGAAACATATGGTCACCTTACCTTATGTTTGTTGGGCCTTTTGTAGAGTTTAGTTTGTATGTTGATCCCGGATGATGACCCGACCCGAAGTAATGTTGCGTAATTTTCTAATAAAATTTTTTTTGAGACTTGGTCCATGGAGCGAAGGCTTTGGGCCTGTTGTGTAGCCCAGTGCGTAGGACATATAAAAGACTGTTACTTTGGTGATTAGGGTTTTATCGAAGTGTATAACTGCTCTCTGTAATCCTCTCTCTCAATAGTGAAAACCCTGCAATTTCGTGGACGTAAACAAATTATCGAGCCACGTAAAATCTGTGTCTTGTTCTTTCTTGNTAATCCTCTCTCTCAATAGTGAAAACCCTGCAATTTCGTGGACGTAAACAAATTATCGAGCCACGTAAAATCTTTGTGTCTTGTTCTTTCTTGTTTCTTGTTTCTTATTGCTTTATGTTCTTGATTTGTTCTTTGATTGTGTGTGTTTGTCTGTGGGTTTAAAGTGTATTAAATCTCAACAATGTTAAAGGATTCAATGAACACAATTTACCTACAAAGTCAAGGCCTATTCAAATTAATCACGAAGTAATGAAAATTTGTAAAAAAGAAATTATAAATTTACTAAGGAATCACATAATTCGGAAAAGTAAATCCCCTTGGTCTTGCCCAGCCTTCTACGCCATTAAAATTTCTGAGTTAGAAAGAGGAGTTCCAAGATTAGTAATCAATTACAAGCCATTAAACAAAATTTTAGAGTGGATAAGATATCCAATTCCCAATAAGCAAAATCTGATAAAATGATTAAGTAAAACAATAATCTTTTCAAAATTTAATTTAAAAAGTGGATTCTGGCAAATTCAAATAAGTCCAGAAGGCAGATACAAAACTGCATATACAACACCCTTTGGTCATTATGAATGACATGTAATGCTCTTCGGATTAACAAATGCACCAAGTGAATTTCAAAATATTATGAATGAAATCTAGGAAACTCGGACACTTCATTTTGGGCAGCGTGTCGATGTCGGACACGTCTGGGACACGGACACGGACACGTTTTGGACCCGCTCGGACACGTTAAAATGAGTGTCCGATTTTTTTATTATTAAATTGTTTTTAGGACACGTGGCCGACACGTTTATGACACGTTGGGAGACACGTTTTGAGATTTATTTTCAATTTTTTTTTAGAACTTTTCAGATAATTTTATAATTCGGAGTTATTTTTATAATTTTAAAGGGATATGAGTCACAATCATAATATAAAAGAAGTTATAATAATTAAATTGAACATAGGACATGAATATAATATAATTTTGAATATGAATATGAACTTATATACAAATGGAATAGTATTTTAATATGAAAGTAATGTGAGAAAAAATGGGATTACAAAATTAGAGTTCTTGAAATTTGATGAAAATTAGTATTACGAAATGAAATATTTTTAAAGTAAAACTTGTAGAAGTCATTGATTATTGAATTATGGATGTTAATATTGTATGAGTATTAATATATCTTATATTATGCTTTTTATGAAATGATATCATGATATAAATTTTTAGAATTAGGAAAATAATGAATTAAAAGATTATTATGATAATATTTTTATTTTATCACATGATTTTATATAAATATATATATATATAAAATACATATTATTTAATGTATCACTAACGTGTCCATATCCTACTTTTTTGAAAAATTTTGTGTCAGCGTGTCCGTGTCATGTCGTATTCGTATTCCGTATCCGTGTCCGTGCTTCTTAGGATAAAATATTCAACCCATTTAGCCATTTTTCTATAGTTTACATAGATGATGTTCTTATATTTTCCAAGTCAATTGATGAGCACTAGAAATATCTTATGTCATTCTTGGATATAGTTAAATACAATAGCTTAGTCATCTCTGCCAGTAAAATTAATTTATTCTAAACCTCAGTCAGATTTCGTGGATATACCATCCAACAGTCAATTATAGTTCCTATTAGCAGAACCATTCAACCTACTAATAAGTTTCCCGATAAAATTAGAGATAAAAACTAGTTATAAAGATTCTTATGATCCCTGAGTTACATTTCAAACTTTTATACAGATCTTAGAAAAATAGTTAAACCATTGTATGAAAGATTACCGGATCATCCCCCATAGTGATCACCAATTCATATTTCCATAGTTCACCAAGTTAAGAAGTATATCAAGACTTTACCTTGTCTTGAGATTCCTATAGTAATTTTTTTTCGAAGTTATTCAAATAGATGCCTCTGACATTGGTTATGATGGCATTCTCCTCCAAAGAGTTAAACCACATTCTTCTGAACAAATTATTCGCTTCCTTCTGAAATCTAGAATAAAGCACAAAATAACTATAGTACTACTAAAAAAAAGATTTTAGCTATCGTCTTGTGTATTTCAAAATTTCAAAATGATATATTAAATCAAAAATTTTTAGTGAGAGTTGATTGCATAAGTGCAAAATATGTTTTGGAACAAGATGTACAAAACATGATTAGTAAGCAGATTTTTGCTGGCTGACAATCTATTTTAAGTATTTTTGATTTTGAATATATTAAAGGTAATGAAAATCCAATTCTTGATTTTTTTACCTGTGAATTTCTACAGAATCATCATGGCAGATAAGAAATATGGTAAGCTCCCTACCTTCGGTAAATAGCTTGCCTTACCAAGCCCAAAATCTAGCCAATTACCCATTACAACTAGTAAACAGACACTATATTCTTTGTAATGTTGTCTGTCCATCCTTTAGTTCCACCTTAGTTAATTTAATTACTAGTAAACAAATCCTTACAAAACCATATTTGGTCAAGTCTATTTCTTCGGTCAAACCAACCGAGTACATTCCCAAACTCATAGCACAAAACCTATTCATCATTGAACCAAGTCATGCCCATTTAACTCACTCAATTGATCTAGTCAAATGCCTACCTTGAACCAAGCTGGAATTTCATTCCACTAGATCGA